ACAGAAAATAATACTGTGGTAAAGAACCTGTTTTCAAAAGAAAAATAAACATTTTGAAAAGGTCATGTAGAGATACAGCTAATGTGCATGCATTTCATATAGGTATTGGGAAACGAGAGAGCAGCGTGCCCCCACCCTGAAAGGAAAGCTCGTTCAGAAGGCCGATCAGGAGCAGCAGGACCCTCTGGAGTACCTTCAGTCTGATGAGGAGGACGACGAGAAGCGTGGTGCCCAGCGCCGGCTGCAGGAGCAGCGGGAGCGCCTGCACGGCGCCCTTGCACTCATAGAGCTCGCCAACCTGACTGGAGCGCCACTCCGCCAGTAGCCTGAACACTGACTCTTCCACTGTACAAAAGTACTGCCCAGCGTACTTAAAAAGTAGATCCTTGGGCATAAGCTAAGCACCTTATTTGCTTATCATAGGCTGCTATTCTGTAGAAATTTATGAAGAATGTCATCGCCCCATAATATGGGGTGAGAGAGAATTGCACTTTTTTTATATGGTAATGGATTTGTTGTAAAGTTTAAAATATTTTGTAAATATGGGACTTCTAGTACAGGGTAGAAAAGGATATATTGTGGGAAGCTAGATTTTGCAAGTTTAATGCATTCATTGGAAGCAGTTCTCACAGGAAGCACTTTCTGAATAAGACACTTGTATGAAAAAACAGAATGGTACATGTAGCCAAAGAACGTTGAAATAGATTATTTATAAGATCATTTTTAACAATGTATATTAGTATGTTTAACAATACTGTAAACACTGAAGCAAGCCAGAAAGTATAAGATATGTGTGTAAGATATGTATTTTTAAATTGCAAAATAGTGTGCCTAATGAGAAGTGGGAAACTGACTATTTTGGAAGATATTCTAAGTTATAGACTTTGGAAGAAGAGATTTTTGAGGATCTTGGTGAGATGCACAGTAGTTAAGAATTTTCAGAATTGGAGTCCTATCAGTCTTATTCTATCTTTCTGAGGCTTTACAATTCACTATGATATTTAGGTTTGAAAAGCACTTGGCATCCCTATTATGTTAACTTGGGAACTTTTGCACATTGCATATTTCTCATTTGCTGAAATTGAGTGATTAATCTTGCAAAGTCTAGATAACTTGGTAATTGTTTTTTTTTTTAATTTTTTTAATATTATGGGCCCTGTAATGAGATTTGGCACTTGGATTTTATTAATAAAAGGGACATCTACAGGGTGGTTCTGTAGTGAAGTTTTAGATCTTTTGTTAGCAAACACTAAATTTTAATTGTACTGCTTGTTTAGAATTATTAGCAAATGGAAGCCTCCTATTTATATTTTCAGTGCATAAAGCCACCTTCTTGCTTTACTTCAGAATAACATGCCAAGCAATTTTGTGTTCACTAAATTTAGTTATCAGTTAAACACTGCAGAAAATAGTAGCTACTCAAATAAGTAGGTTTCTGGAATAGTTTCAACTGCAAGTGTGTTAACTTGTGTGGTGGTTTTAAGCCATTTTTCCAAATGGATGAAGTTTTTAAATACCACTTTATGTACTGAAGCATAAACAGAAAAATTAAGACCTGAGCAGTTCACCTCCTTTATGTATAGGCATAAACCTCCATCATTTAAGCTTTTGTTTACGCAGAAACTAAATGACATGCATAGCATGGTAATTTGATAGATTGCTTAATTGGAGTAAACGTCAGAGTAATAGAGGGAAATATGGGCTCTCCAGCGCCTTTTTTTTTTCTTTTTTGAAGTTGTAGCCTATGGATGTAGTTTAAACATTATCTAAAATGTAGGCTTCTTTATCCAAAAATTCCAGTGTGTTGCAGTACACAGGTAGTTTAAAATACGTAGCCATGGGGAAGGGGTGGTATGTAAATGTCTTGAAAAGAAGCAAAAGTGTGAAAGATGATAGTAACAAATAATGTGTGTGAATGAGGACATACTTTAAAAATGTAATTCCTCTGTACAGTAAATTACAAATCTTGAGGGATTTTTTTTTTGTAATAAGAGAATTTATATTTGTAATGGTCTAAGAATTTTGTTTGTAATCTGGTATATAGAATTTTAACTTGGAGCACTTATAAGCACAGTAAGAGAGTCTGTAGCATCAGAATTTTCATGGGTTAGGTTTCAGCATTTTCTCTAGAATTTTTTCTCTCAAATATAACTTAAATGAACTATGAAAAGCAACACTCATCGTCTTGGGAAATTTAAAATTTGATGAACTTACCTAAAGAAGAAAGGGCAGTAAACTTGTATTAAAAAATACAAATACATCCCAATTCATGAATAATAAAATTTAAGGCCTTCAAAAGTAAGGGGTTTTGTTTGTTTGTTTTTCTGGTCAGCTTTTGTCAACTATAATAGTTATATTCACAAACATTTTTTATTTGTATAATTGGAAGTTTAAGAAATTGTAACTACTTACTATAGAATATTTAAAATGTTCTTTTTGATATAAGCTATATACTTGGACAAAATACATTGGCATCTAAAATTTGAGGTGTGTTAAGACTGCTTTTTGTTTTAAAAATGTGGTTTACATTCAAATTTTTGAAGTGTTTTATGCTTCATATGGCTCAGTTGTAGTCTGGCAGAGGTAACAGCATAAGAATAAACATGCTGTAATTTTAAAAGATGCTTTGAATAAAAATTTATTTTAATTTACAGTTTAAAGTACATTTTCATTCTTGAACCCTTTATACTTTGTCTTCCTATCAACAGTATGATGACCGTAATATAAAAAAGTTTAAAAAGTAGAAACGTCATCTACAATCCTATATCCTCCCATATTCTTATTTGGTGTGTTTTATATTTCATTTCCAGTCTCCTTTTAGGCATCTGCTTAGCATAGTGAAATCATAGTATGAATTGCTTTTTCCTACTTTAAAATTATGGCCTTTTAGAGTGTACATATTAATTTAACTTCCTCATTTGGTTCATTGTTACAGTGTTAAAAATACACTGGTAGGGATAAGTATTGCCAGCTCCATTCTAGGCCTTACGGTAAGGGTGATCAGGGACTGGGATTTTATTTCACTTATATTCAGGATGTGTTGAATGTGATCACCTCCCTGAGAAGCCACTCGGGGGCCTGTTTACTTTCTAAAGAGTCAAGCAAGTTTGTTTAATTTTGTCATAAATTATCTTTAGTTATATACTTGTAATAGGCAAGGTTCAGCCTGTCTAGGCTTTAAGCAAAAGAATTTCACATTCAACTCTTCAGTGTGAGTTGTGATTTAAACAAAGTTAGGATGAGATTTGGACAGTCACTTCAGATCCTGGAAGTATGTGTATTGTAGAAGCAAATTAAATGGAAATATGATTAAGGCTGTTACTAGAAGTGAGTTTACTGTTTTGCAGCCAAAACTTATTTGGAGACTCACTGGAAACTAAATTGATCTTTTTAAAGGAAATTATACAAAATGACATTAAGTTCAGAGATTTTGTTTCAGCTGGAATATGATTTTATTTTCTATTTCATTTCATCCGTTTATTTTTAAGGAGTCTCCATGCTGGGCAGGGATTGAACTCAAGACTGAGATCAAGACCTGAGCTGAGATCAAGAATCACCTGCTGAACCGACGGAGGCACCCAGGCACCCCGTTTTGTTTTGTTTTGTTTTTTAAAGATTTTATTTATTTATTTGACAGATAGAGATCACAAGTAGTCAGAGAGGCAGGCAGAGAGAAAGAGAGGAGGAAGCAGGCTCCCTGTCGAGCAGAGAGCCTGATGTGGCCCTCCATCCCAGGACTCTGGGATCATGACCCGACCTGAAGGCAGAGGCTTTAACCCACTGAGCCCCCCAGGCGCCCCCCAGGCACCCCGTTTTCTATTTTAAAATGGTCTCAACACGTGTTTGCTTTTTTATTTTGGGTAATGTGGACTCTTACTTCCTGCCTTTCTTAGAGCTAGTTATTTGTTACAAGTTCTGCTTTAGTTCTTTTAAGTGCTGAAAATGTTCATTGTTGTTCAGTGCTTACGACAGAAAAACAATTGTATGGCATCAACAGCTGGTGCAAACATTTCTTTCATTTGAAATTTTTAGCTTTTCTAAAAAACTAAAATTTCAGATTTTTAAAGTTGATTATTGAGAATGAAAATATGGGACACTTATTTGAAAAAATGCTACATCAGGTAGAGTGTGGTCCAAGTAGGCAGTTTTGGGAGGCTCTCCTTCAAGGAACAACAAACACTGAAGCAGGTTGCTATTCGCTTAGGAAAGCAGTGGGTCCTGAAGTTAAGGAGGGAACCAAGCATAGAGCAGCTAGAGGCAAGAAAAGACTTGAGACTTTGCACCCACCTCAACCCCTGTTACTCCTACATATCTACTGGAGAGAAATGAACACACGTTCACACAAGAACTTGTACATTAAGGTTCATGGAAACAGTTTGTAAAAAAGCCCTAAATAGGAACAACCAACATGCCCATCAACTGGTGAATGGCTGAACTGTGGTCCTACTCTGCAATTTAAAGAAACTACAAGGGCGGTGGCAAAAGACATAAATGGTAAAAGCCTTGAAAGTACTTACTAATATGAAATTTAAAATTCTGGAAAAGAACAATCTAACTCGACAACAGAAATCTGAATGAGAAGGGATTGCCTCCAATGGGCACGAAAGGCACTATTTGAGGTGATTGGAAAGGTGTTGATTTGGGTAGTTACAAGGGTGTACACACCAAACAACGAACGGTGGGCTCGTGAAACCTGCATTTTCCTTTACGTAAATTATACGTTAAAAAGTGTAGGGGGAAGAAAAAAGGCAAAACGCACGCTCAGTCTAAACGGAAGCCTTGCTTCCCAGGAGGGCAGCTGGGGACGGGGAAGGGCGGCTCAACTCTCCCAGGCCCATTCCTGCCGTCCGTCGGTGGCAAGGAGGTCCGCGCCGCAGCCGCGGGGCGCTCTCCGGAGGCGCGCACTCGGGGCGGCAGCGGCCCTTCCTGTTTCGGCCGCGCCCTCTGGCGGGCCGGCCGCAGGCGGGGACGGAACTGGGGCGGGGCGGGCCGGAGCGGCGCGAAGGGCGGCGGAGGGCTGCGGGCTGCGGGCTCCGGGCTGTGGGCTCCGGGCTGTGGGCTCCGGGCTGTGGGCGGCGGGCGGGCGGCCGTGGGACATGACGGCCGGCCGCCAGGCCGAGGGCGCGGACCTCGACCCCGCCTCCGCGCGGCTGCCCTCCCGGCTCGCCAAGCTGCTGTCGGCGCTTTTCTACGGGACTTGCTCCTTCCTCATCGTGCTGGTCAACAAGGCACTGCTGACCACCTACCGGTGAGGAGGACCTCAGGGGGCCGGGCGGGGGCCGCGGGGCGCCCGGTCCCGAGACCTTCCGGCTCCCGGTGCCGTGCGAGGTCCCGGGGCGAGGGCGCGGCGGGGCTGCCCCTGCCCTCCGAGCACTTCGGCCGCGCCCGGGTCCGCGGGCTGGCTGGGACGGAGAGCGCGGAGTCTCCCTACTGGCCCCAGTGCCAACGGCGTCAGCTGGGACCTTCGCAGGTTTCTAAAATCCAGACCCCAACCCAACAGTCATTTGCCCCCGTCTCCACTGCTTACCGCTGCTGTAGACACTGCATAGCTGTGCTTGCAGAGCTACACCCCAAAGAGAGCTACACCCCAAAGCTTTCCAAGGTACCAGCGAGCTGGGACAAGTGATCTGAATGCGAACCTTAACGGAGAATAGTTCTCTACGCAGATCTAGATGTTCCACCATCAGACGAGTCCTGAGCCGGGACGTGCCTTGTTTGGTCTTTCATTCTCAAATTACCCGTGCATTGGGGGAAAACAATGAGAAGTTCACAAGATTTACTTTTTTGGATTAGTGTGTCCTAAGCCAGATTTGTGGTTGGTTCCTTGAGCCTATTAATAAGGACTAGAAATTCCTGTTTAATTCTGCTATCCTTACAGCAGCACTGAAAGCACAGTGGATTTAGATCCAGCTAAACCATCTAATAGCTGTGCCTCTTGGGCTACACTCATAGTGAGCAGTTTTCTTAGAAGCCAAAGCTGGATAATTACAAGCCTGTTAATTACCTCCCAGAGCTTTGCAGGAGCTGCCATAAGTGAGAGGGCCTTTGTAAACCATACTGTGCTGCAAAACCGTGAAATCATAGTTTCATAAAGAGCTTAAAAGAGACCTCAGAGAATATCTTCAGCCTTTTTCTTTTATACTTGAGACAGCTGAGACCCACAGGAGCTTGGCTGGTTACACCTCCAACAGTTGGCTCCTGAGCACCTACTATGTGCCAAGCCCATTGCAGGCACCACGGAAGCAGCTGTGATCAGCACAGAAACACCACCCCCACCTCTCACCCCCCTACCCCCCACCCCCATCCCCCCACTCCTCCCAACCCCCACCAGAGACTCTATACTAGTGGTAGAGACTGGAAAGAAGTGGCTTCATGAATAATCAGGGTGATTTCAGGTGTGGTATGAGAATTCCTGGGGTGGAATGGTTGGCACGAGAGCCTTCGAAGCTGAAGGGAATGTGAAGAAGGGGGCATGAGTTTGGTTTGCTGGAGGAAATGAGTGAGCACATGGAAGAAGGTGAGAGAGAAATGAGGGGGGAGGGAGGCAGGGAAGGCAGGATCAGATCCTTCCTTCATTCAATAATAATTATTAAGCACCTGTTTGGGTCAGGCACTGTTCTAGGCACCTGGGATATAGGAGTGAATAAAGCAGATCAAAATCCCAAATGTGATGGAGCAAATATCCATCCTCCTAGAGTTTACATGGAGCTTTCTAGTGAATCAGTAAATAAACTGGTAGAATTTATGTTACCTCAGATGCAGTTGTGTGGTCAGGAGAAAAACGTAAGGCAGGAAAGGGAGTTAGGGAGTGTGGGCATGGGAAAGAGTTTGCTGTCTCATGTGATCAGTGAAGCTTTGCTGAGGAGGTGACATGCCAGCCAAGAGTTGAGTGAGGTGAGGGAAATGGGAGAAGAACATTGCAAACATGAAAGAGAAAGGTGTTTGGGTGGGGATGGTACTAGGTGAGGTCCCAAGGTAATGGATTGCTATATCGTATAGGGCTTATGAAGCAGCCGTGCGAACCACTAGAAGGTGCTGATTGGAGGAGTAACATGAACTAAATCCCTCTGGCTGCTGTGTTGAGAGGAGATATTGGGGGACCAGGGAGGAAGCAAGGAAACTAGGATAAATAGTTTTAATTTTAGTCTAAATGCATTTGGGAGTCTCTTAGAAGGTTTTAGCATGAGGAGTGATATGGCATGATTTGTGGGATTAAAAAGATTTCTTTGGCTGGTGGGTGGTTGGAGAACTGATGGCATTGGAATCAGGGAGAGGAGCTAGGAAGCAATTGCCATTTTCTAGATAATTCTAAGAGATGGCTTGGGAGTGGGGTGAGGGGTAGCAGCAGATATGGAGGAAGAGAGAGATTTGGGATCTTTTTTTGGTGATCCTACAGACCTACTAGGTCTCGACCACTGTGTTGCAAGTATGCTTGCTGGTGTCCATGGAAAACCCAAATGCTGCCTCAAAAAAATTAGAATGAACATATAACTAAACCTGTATCATTTAACACATACAAGGCAAGCTAAGTGAAGAAAAAGAAAACTTAAGACATCTATGATAAGAAAAACAAGAGGATAGTATTAAGAGGGTTGTTTGGGAATGGTTGACAATTATGTTGGATGAAGTTTGAAGGTCAGTCTTGATTTTCTGCCCTTGAATGAGCTGTGTGCTCTCTGGCCATGGCGGTTCACTGCCTCCAAAAACACGTGTCTTGTTGGAAGCAGGGATCAGTAAACACTGGTTAAGTGCTTTGAAGATGAAGGGCAGTATCCAACTGGAAAGAATTATTATTATATGAGACATCTCATGCTCTAGTCTTTCCATCTTTAAAATTTTGAGTTCCATGATTGAAGGAGGAAATGGAGTTTTTGTCTCCGCAAGGCGAAACTCTTTCAATCTTTAGAAGTAAATATTTCACATTTCTGTAATGTAATATAAAATCGGAGAACCCTGTTCCAATAACATCGTTTGTTCTCTCATCTCAAAATGCTTTAGGAGCACATTTTTGAGGGGAAGAGGGTTGGGTTAATTTTGTTACAACAATAAACCATAGAAATCTGATCCAAACATTAGCTGTTTGAAGATAGAATGTTGCGTTGTGGAATAGAAGGAAGGACATTTCAATAATTACCTAATCCACAGGGTCATGAGAATGTAGCTCAAGGGATGTTTTTTCTTTTCCATTTTGAACAGATTGTTTCTGTTTGGGGTATAAGACTGATGGGTGGTCTTTGTTCTTTGTTTTGTTAGACTTCTTTGGTTCATTGTAATGCTAGATTTATCTGATTGCACAGAGAGGTCTTTGAAGGATGTGAACTCTCAGACCCTGTTAAGGTGAGAGGGGAGAAGCAAGGTCATCTAAGAGTCTGTGGCCAGTTGGTTATACCAGTGGGTCTTTGGAATCAGATTCATGAGGGTTTTTGGTTGTCATTGTAATATACTGTTCTCTATGACATGCACAAATTTATAATGGAGCTTAATAAAAATATAGAGCTTAGTTGTATTTAGTTTGACAAACATTTGCTGTATGTCTTCTTCTTTATGCATCCCAGGACTTTGGGGATTATTTAGCACAGTGCTTTCCAAACCTGCCTGGGAGTGTGAATTACTTGGAGAGGTTTTTATAAAAGCTATTGAATTGAGTCTCCAGCGGTGGGAACAAGGAAATTCATATTAAAAACAAAACCAACTTGAAATTTTCTCTTACTCTGATGAAAACCTGCTCTCTCCTGAAGATGCAGCTCCTTTTGGCCCCTGAAAGCAGCTGGATCTTGGTCTCACCCTGGGTCTGGCCAGGAGGTGAGGTTGGGTCCTCATGCTTCCCCAATGGCCAGGCTCCATGTTCTCCAAAAAGTAGAGGGACCACTGCTTGTGGTCCTCTACAGTGGCTCTTGAGCTCCTGTCACTCACGTAACAAAGTGCCCTGGTCTTCCTCTCCCTCTGGACTGTCGTCAGCCTTGGAGACTTCAGGATCCACGGACGAACCCTCTCAGCCGGTGCAGCCCCGCTTCCTGCAGTCACTCCCAGGGCCATGTGCTTGGCGTGACCTGCCAGGTGTCCACACCCCACCCCGCCTCCAGCTCGTGTCTGCACATCCCACCCTGCGAGTCCTTCCTCAGGCCCACTGGGGCGGCATTGGTCCAGCACAGCCTACCGCCTGCCTCTCTCCTTTAGCATAGAGCAGTGCAGACTGTTGTGGGAGGAAAACCACTTCTGAGCTGACTGGGTTGACTTTAAAAGGATGATCATGAAGCTCAACCGGCTCTCCTTCCTATCCCGTCGTTTCTTCTGGGGGCTTGCTTTCCTCATCTCAGAAGTGACTCCTTCACGCATTCTCCTTTGTCCTAAAACTTCCCACACACCCCACCCTCCACTCCCCATCTCTGCTACTGTTGAGAAAGTAGAGGCCATCAAAGAGGCCCCCACCTTGCCCTTGCTGGTAGGATGTAGGGACTCTTTTGTCCCTTTGGAAGGTCTAGCTCTCCTCTTCCGCAGGTCTGCTCCTCCAGCTCCTTCTGTCTCCTCCTCTGTTCTGCCCTTGGAAACACGTTCAGGTTTCTCAAGAGAAAATAACCCATACCTGATCCCTCATGGACCCTCATTTCTCTGTTTCTTTCAGAGTCTGACTCTTGAGAAGTTGTGTACCCATGGTCTTCACTTCCTCACATTCACTAGTATAAGAATTCATTTAAAAAATTGGAGGTTATTGGGGTGCCTGGGTAGCTCAGTCATTAAGCAACTGCCTTCGGCTCAGATCATGATCCCAGAGTCCCGGGATCAAGCCCTGCATCAGGCTCCCTGCTCCGCGGGCAGCCTGCTTCTCCCTCTCCCACTCCCCTGCATGTGTTCCCTCTTTCGCTGTGTCTCTCTTTGTCAAATAAATAAATAAAATCTTTAAAAATTTAAATACAGAAATGTACAAAGAAGATAATAATAATTATATTCCCACCTACCTAGAATCAATATCCTCAAATATCTACTAAAAACAATTTTTCTGAAAGTAAGCTCTGTGGCCAGTGTGGGGCTTGAACTCATGAACCTGAGATCAAGAGTCACATCATCCACTGACTGAGCTAGCTACGTGCCTCTCGCTCTCCTTTTTCTCGCCCCCCCCCCAAGAAAAGTCATTCTGGCATGATCATTACAAAGAATTGAAACAAAAGAAAAATATTAAGGTGAAATTTTAAGAAATACCACTAAATACTTAGTATTTTAGAAATACTAAGAAATATGTACTAATATTAAGGTGGCTCGGTCATTAAGCGTCTGCCTTTCGCTCAGGCCATGATCCCAGGGTCCTAGGATCCAGCCCCTCATGGGGCTCACTGCTCGGCAGGAAGCCTGCTTCTCCCTCTCCCTTTCCCCCTGCTTGTGTTCCCTCTCTTGCTGTCTCTCTCTGTCAAAGAAATAAATAAAATATTAAAAAAACCCAAATACTATGAAGATGTATAGATTACTTTTAAAAAATATATATATCTTAGATATAGATATATAGGCATATATCATATATATGTATATGTATGTATATATATATATATATATATATATATATATATATATATCCATTCATTTGTCAGTGGACATCTGGGCTCTTTCCATATTTTGGCTATTATGGACATTGGAAAGAAGGGCTTTAATTTAATTATTTTTTCAAGTATCACCTAGGTGCCCTCCCCAGCACTTTTCATGGTGAAAAGTTTCAAGCATACAGAAAAGTGGAAAGCAGACATCACTGAAATGCAGTAATGAACATTTTATTATATTCGCTTCCCCCCAGCCATTGAAAGTAAGTTGCAAAATCATGATTCTGCACTCCAATTTTTGGGGTGCATATATTTTAGCATGTCTCTCCTGAGATAGTCTCCTGCATAGTATCATTTTTGCTTTTAACAAATTTTAATGATTTCCTAAAGTAATCTTATACCAAATATATAATCATCCCAGTTGTCCCAAGATATTTGGGACATTTAAATGTCCCAAACATTTAAATCAAGATCCAAGCAGGGTTCATGAAATGCATTGAGTTATGTCTTTATAGTTTATTTTAATCTAGAAAAGCTCCTCATCCCATTTCTTCCCATGATACTGACTTTTTGAAAAGCCTGGGCCAGGTATTTTATAAAATGTGCCACATTATGGATTGTCTGATTTATGCTTTGAAGGCTTGCTTAGCTTATTTCCCAACTGAACTTTAGATCTAAGAGCTTGATTACATCCAGATTAAACCTTTTTGGCAAGGGTGCTGCATTGCTGACCCTGTGAACTCTTATTGTATCATTTCGGGGCTGTGCCATTATTTGTCATGTTGGCTGCTTTTGAAGGCTTATTTAAGTGGGGATTGCAAGTTGCACATATGCATGAAATTTGGGTTTTTTTAAAAGATTTTTAAAATTTATTTATCTGACAGAGATCACAAGCAGGCAGAGAGGCAGGCAGAGGTGGGGGGGGGGAAGCAGGCTCCCCGCTGAGCAGAGAGCCCAATGCAGGGCTCGAACCTAGGCCCCTGGGATCATGACCTGAGCTGAAGGCAGAAGCTTTAACCCACTGAGCCACCCAGGCGCCCCATGAAATTTAGTTTTAACTGAATTTCAGATATAGATTTCTTCACTACAAGTGTTAGTATTTCTTAAAAGATCCCTCTGAGATGAAGAGGTCATGAAAAACATTAAGAAGTTGATCTCATCAGCACATCTGGGTGGCTCACTTGGTTCAGTGTCTGCCTTCAGCTCCAGTCATGATGGGCTGAGGCCCCACATCAGCTTCCCACTCAACGGGGAGTCTGCTTGACTCTCTCCCGCCGCCCCTCCCTCTGCCTCTTGCTCTTTCTCTCTCTCTCTCAAATAAATAAATAAAATCTTTTAAAAAAAAAGTTGATCTCACCATGTTTATTTTGTAAACACGTTTCAGTTTAAGACTTCCCTGCTATGAAGGATGAAGATACTTGCATGGTTCTTCCTATCTCCCCTCCTCCCCTCCACATCTTGTTTTATATGAAGCAAACTGTTGTGTAATTATAATCCCACAACTGTTTGAATCTGTTCTATATTTAAATGGAGATAGTAATCAGCAACAGCCTTTTTACCACAATGTCTCCATTCCTAAATTTATTGTTTTGATTTCATTCCTAATTGGTGGATTCCATTGTCAGGTAGGGTTTTTTTGTTTGTTTGTTTATTTTGTTTTAAATGGATTTCATGGCTGCTGCTTCACTTAGGTTGAACAGTCTTATTTATTTATTTATTTATTTTTAATTTCTTTTTTTTTTTAATTTATTTGACAGAGAGACAGCGAGAGAGGGAATACAAGCAGGGGGAGTGGGAGAGGGAGAAGCAGGCTTCCAGCAGAGCAGGGAGCCTGATGTGGGGCTTGATCCCAGGACCCTGGGATCATGACCTGACCTGAAGGCTGCCGTGGAACATTCTTTAACAGTGTGCTTTTAGATCTAATGATTCAGTCTATTTATTTTCCTCATGTCAACAAATTTGCTTTTTATCTTTGAATCATTTTCTTTCTTTCTTGAATTCCTTCTTTCCCTGTATTATATTTTCCCCTAACCTGGCCTCTTTGTCTGTCTTCTGTAAGCCTCTTCTTGTCATTTCACCATTTATGTTGCTGTCTTAGGATCTCATTTGCAGTGACAGGTTGTGTTCTCTGGCAAGCAGACTCTGAGAGGCGGAGGAAGTATACTGAGGAGAGCTCTTAGGATGCGCTCCTGAGGAAGAGTGAGGGAAGTCAGATTTGGCTGAAGTGCAAGCACAGCAAAGCCTGATCCCAGGGGCTCTGGAGCTGAGATGGCCCAACAGACCAATCCTGAATTGGGGTAGGGACCCCTGCCTTTTACACTTTTTGTACAGACCAGAGATCGGAATGCAGGAGACTCACAGGGAGGGCGTTTGCTATTTGACAAGGTAGCCTTCCTCAGCTGAGGATGTTCTTGGGCAACTGGGGGAATGAATGCTCAGTCCAGAGGGGGTCTGGATGGCAAAAATGGCATCCAGCACTTGGAATTAGTTTTATTCTCCTGGTGGTACTGTTCATTCATTCCATTTCTTTTGATAAGTCTATTCTTTACTGTCTTCTTGCCCTGGCTGAAATTGGTGACATACAGATTGGGGGGTGTATGTGTGTGTGTGGTGGTATTCCTCTATTGTAGTAGCCTGAGGAATGGCTGGGAGACAGTGTAGTGCTGCCTTGTTAAAAATGGTGTGAAAGGCTAGGAGATTCCCTGCAAGGACATAATATCCAGAACCCTAACATTGAGAGACCAAAAAAAAAAAAAAATAATAATAATAAATCCATTCATCCAAATGAAGTTGCTACCAAAGAGGTCACATCATAGGATCCATCTTTCTCCTCCTCTTTTCACACTGGTTACTGAAGCTCTCAAGGAAAATTGTGACAATCCTGCCATCGTGACCATAAATACAGACCTTCTCAATACTATTAGCTAAGCTCGAAAGCTCAAATACTGGATAAAGCTCACTGAGAAAGTATTTACACATAAGAAGTTCTAATAAAAATATAGTAATTACATTAATAATCCACAGAATATAAGGTTCCAAGGACCTGAGTACTCACTGTTAGGTACAGAGAAACCCTACTTACCGTTCCATATAACTGCACATTCTGAGCACATTTCTTGCATATTGTATTGGTTTTACTGTTAAGGAAAAAAGACACACACACACACACACACACACACACAATGGTGTGAAGCAGGATTGTGTATCTAAATTACCAGTGCCATTTGTTGAAAGACCGTCTTTCCCACACTGCTCTACACTATCTTCTTTGTCACATATGTGTGTATCTGTCCTCATCTCTGTTCTCGAAACTTTTAGAATCTCTAAAAGTTAGAAAGAGAGTTTTATTCGAGTCCAAGTTAGGATAGCTGCCTGAGAAACATGCTCTTCAAAAGGAAGAAAGAGCTCCAGAGAATGAACAGTTTTTATAGGGTTATATATTGTTTTTATGTCTTGTAAAAGCTCAAAAGACTATATATGAACATACAGGCAAGAATCACAAGTTTTTTCTTCTCATCAATTGTAATCTTTAATTAGCCTTTTATTAGATTTGTTCCCGGGTATATTATTATTATTATTATTATAATAAAAATATTTTATTTATTTGAGAATGAGAGAGAACATGAGTGGAGGCGGGGAGGAGCAGAGGGAGAGAGAGAAGCAGGCTCCCTGCTCAATCCTACGATCCCAGGATCATGGTTAGTCTAAGATTTTTTTTTTTTTCAGTCTAAGATTTTTTAATAACTCCTGACATTATGTATTATAGACAGTCTGCAAACTTTTGTCAGTTGTTAAAATTGTTATTCTGTGTTTTTAAACAGATTCCCATCACCAATTTTTCTTGGAATTGGGCAGGTAAGTGAAAAAGAAAAATTAACTGCTTAATTAGTTGTCATCATACATGATGAAATTTTAGTGCTTTTGTTTAATACCATGGTTTACAGATTTATTCAACTGGCAGAGAGCCAGAGGATCATGGTACTTTTGGTGAAACAGCATGAATTTTTTTTAAAGATTTTATTTATTTATTTGACAGAGATCAGAAGTAGACAGAGAGGCAGGCAGAGAGAGAGAGGGAAGCAGGCTCCCTGCTGAGCAGAAAGCCCCATGGGGCTCAATCCCAGGACCCTGAGATCATGACCCGAGACAAAGGCAGAGGCTTTAACCCACTGAGCCACCCAGGCGCCCTGAAACAGCATGAAATATTGACATATCTTATGTCTTTCTATAATTTAGGAAATGTTGTATTTGCAGAAAACAAACAACTACTTGTTTCAACTTCCTTAATTGGATTTAATTACCCTAAAACTAGGGGCCAGAAGACTGAAAGCTTCCAAGGCCTGGTGGGCAACAAATGAATGGGTTTGAAGCCTGGGGTAGGACTAGGAACACAGTTGCTCCAGTTGAAGTGTGCTATTGGTACTCAGTTTAAGCCACTGTGCTGAGAGGAAAAGGGTTGGGGAGATGAGATTGGGTTCACTACACCCTTATTATCAAAACCCTGGAGGTGTTTCAAGAGGCAGGGGTTTTGAATGTTCACATCAAATTTGTAAATGCTGGCAACATGTTCCAATTTTTACAAAACTCTCTATGGGCCTAGCTAAACATGCTTGCATTTTGCTTCCTGCAGTTTGTGATTTTTTCATTCTCAAGTATAAAGATGAGGTTGGATAAGCTTTCAGACTAACCTCATTTGGCTCCTTCTGAAATTTCCCATTAATATTAATTCATAGCTTGTTTACTCTCTTGGTCATATGCTGGTGATTTCTAGTAGACAAGTGGAAACAGGCACCAAAGGCACATTTTTGGTATGTTTGCTTGGTTTTGCTTTAATTTATAGGGAAAAAAATGTAAAATTAGGAAAATTGTATCTGTTAACTAAATTTTTAATTGTGAGTCTTGGAAAGGATGTCATTTATATGATTAAACATTATTCTGGTTAAATGTTTAGCTGATAAGTCACTCTTTACAACATCATTTTAGGGAAAAAGTAATAAGAAATCAATATTTTCCTTAAGGTCAAAAATAGATTGTCTTAATGTTTCAATGTGAAATAGGTAGAAAAAAGTACTTTAAAAGATCAGTGAATATGTGATAATGTGCCCTTAGTAATCCCAAAAGCAAATAAACTCACTGGCTTACTCAAAGTGAAGCCTTTCTGATATGCAATTTGTGTGGAAAAAGAGCAGCAGACCCAATTTAAAAAGTCTGAGTTGCAGAATATTTTAAATAAGGGTTAGTATATTTCTGTAAGAATTACAAAGTAAGTTATAAATATAAACTATAATTATAATTCAAGATGGGCTCATGTTATATTAATCTATCATAAGTATTACATTTGTAAACTCATTAAGCTCAAGGTTTAGGATGATAATCATGTTGAAGGAGTTCTTAAATTTTTGCATCATAATATGGAGAAAATTAAGTAAGTTCTAAAATTTGCATAGGAAGATGATATTAAAATTTTTTATTATTAAATTAAAATTTTGTATTCACAATGATAATCTGGAGTATTTCTAATATACTTGCTATACTCCAGGTTAATAGGGTTTGAATGAGACATTTTTGCAGGACTGGCTAGATTGAAGAGAAAAATAAATCCCTTTTAAAACTGTTTTTCTCTTAATTTGTCTTCTATGTTACAGGAATATTGGACATCACAGAAAGTGTGTTTGTATGTAGAGTTTGCCCCCTCAAGGGAGCCCCAGTCTCTATGTGGAAAGGTGACCATATGCTCTACACAGGAAATATGGTCCAGAATCAAGGAGTGGCCTCTCTGACTGTAGTCACTCTGGCCAGTTTTGGGGACACCATTTCTTTTTTCCCCTCTGTCTTTGTTTCTTGAGCCCCTTGAGACAATATGTATACGTGTGAGCTATTTGATTTTATACTTTTTGCCTATAGTTCTGATGGAATTTATATACTGACAAAAAAATAATTTTTAATACTCTAGGAAATAGTTATTATTTAGAACCTAGAAAATGGATTTTTCTGAATAATATTTTCTTTTTGATGAATGTTTTTTCTTCTGATGATGTCTTTGTACCTCAGTCTTTCCAGGTATTTTGCTAAAGTTTCTCCCTCCCCCTCTTTTTTTTTAGATGGCAGTGACCATAATGATACTGTATGTATCCAAACTAAATAAACTAATTCATTTCCCTGATTTTGACAAGAAAATTCCTGTGAAGGTATGTGATGAAAAGTACACAGAACTTTGATGGAACATGTGAAAATGCTATAGAATTTAAATGGATCTAAGAATACACGTTAATTTCCACACACAGTGTGCTTCCTGCTTACACTGGGTAGAGACGACTTCTTCTTCTTCAAGATTTTATTTATTTGACAGAGAGACACAGCGAGAGAGGGAACACAAGGAGGGGGAGGGGGAGAGGGAGAAGGAGGCCTCCTGCTGAGCAAGGAGCCTGATGGGGCTCGATTCCAGGATACTGGCATCATGACCTGAGCTGAAGGCAGCCGCCTAACGACCAAGCCAGCCAGGCGACCCTGGGTAGAGACTTCTTAATAGAGATATTGTATTACTCATTCAGTTGTTCATTAACGTAATGTAATAATAGTGGAAGTACGTGCTTAAGAACTGACATTAAATAAATACGTATGTCTTCTGAAAAGTTAAAGCCCTACCAGGAATTGGTAAGTTTTTTTTTGCTAAAAAAAAACAGATAGTAGATATTTAGGCTTTGTGGGCAAGACTGTCTCTGTTGGAACTATTCAGCTCTGCCACTGTATCATGATATATAAATGAATTGCTGTGATTATGTGCTAATAAAAATTCATTTACATAGACAAAAGATGGGCCAGATTTGACTCTTTGGCCCTACTTTTCTGATCTTGGTTTAAGTTTTCATTTTTAACTTGGATTGATAAAGCATAAAACCTGCCTTTCCTTCCTAGAATATGGAACAGAACTACCTTTCTTGAACAGTTGCTGGTTCAATAAACAGTTGTTTTAAGCCAGGCATTTAATTCTTAGAGCAATCCTATACAATAGGTGGTATTAACTGGATTATGATGGCATTTTTTGGATTTAGGGATGTTAAATCAGCCTGTCAGTTCCTTGAGGGTGAGGACCTCACATGGCTTCTTCACTACCACGTCTCTAAGGCCTGGAAAGACACTGGCATCAATCACTAGGTTATTCATTAGACTGACCAAGCACACGGGTAGAGCATCCATAATCAGGGACATTCACAAAAAGAGAAAAACAAAATATTGAAGTGTAATGAAAGCTATAAACACAATCATAACTGGAAAAATCAGAATATCGTTGGGTTTGCTTACACTTAGTTTATGATATACTATAATTTTAAACATTTTAAAATTGTGAAAAATGATCTATATGTAGGGAAAAAGGCATCATTCATGAATGTGTAGTTGCATGAATAATTAGCTGTGCGCTCATTACCTAGGTCATGAGATGGGATCACAATTTTCCTTACCCACTATTCTGACTTCTGTGATAATACTTATCTTGCTTTAGTTGAAATTGTTCTAATATGCATTCCTGAATTAAGTTTTGCTGAGTTAGTTTTGCCATTCTTGAATGTTCTGGGAAGAGAATACTGTTCTGAACATCCTTAGGGTTGGATCTCAATGCACATGTATTAGTCAGCCAGGGCTCCCATAACAGAATACCACAGACTGAGGGACTTAAACAACGGGAACGAGTTTTCTCACAGTTCTGGTGGCAAAAAAGTCCAAGATCAAGGTGTCAACAGAGTTGGTTTCTGGTGAAAGTTCTTTCCTTGGTGTGTAGACCACTGCCATCTTTCTGTGTACTGATGTGGACTTTACTTTGTATGTGCACACTCCTGGTATCTCCTCTTCTTAGAAGGACCTCGGACCTTGGATTAGGACCCATCCTTATGATATAACCTTAATTACCTCTTAAAAACCTTATCTCCAAATATAGTCACATGGGGTTAGGGCTTCAAAATATGATTTTTAAAGACAATTTAGCCTAAAATGATACTTGTGGCATGAATTTCTCTTGGAGGCATATCAGGAAGTGGAATGGTTGACTCCTATCCTATGCACATCTGCAACTTGAGTAATTAATGTCAAAGTGTTCTCCAAAGTGGTTGTACTAGTTCACACTGCTGATGAAAGTGCATGAAAGTCCCTGTTGCTCACATTCTTGCCAATCCTTGATATGTCAGTTATTTTATTTATTTTTTTACCTTTTTTTAACTTTATGCTATTTTAATTACTGTGTGTCAATATGTCAGTCATTTTAAATTGTGCTAATCTGGTGGGTGTAAATGACTTCTTGGCTTTTATTTGCATTTTCTTGGTTGTCAGTGAGATTTTTCTTTTTCTTTTTCTTTTTTTTTTTTTCTTACTATGTTATGTTATTCTTTCCTTTCTGCATCCCCCATTTTCCACTTTCCTCCTGATTAAAGTACCTCCTTTAGAATGTACTAATGGTCAGCTTAAATTCCCTTAGGTCTTGTTTGTAAAAGATGATGGTTTTCCTTTGCTTTTGAAAGATACTCTTGCCTTCTAACTTAATAGATCTTGGAGCATGCAATTCTGCTGTCTTCTGGCTTCCATTGTTTATCTCTGTGTTTCTGTTCTCACTTAAGTTTTGGCCTGGGGACTCACTATGTCCCCACATACTTTTATGAAGGTTTTAAATTATTTTATGTAGCATTTTTAATTGTTTTCAGTGGGGAGATTAACACAAACAATCTAGCCCACTGTTTCTAAAAACTGGAAGTCAGTATTGTTTTTATTTTGAATTATATATGGAAAGGGGGGCAACTGATTCTTTTCAATGCCTAAGAACTTCTAAAGTTGTAATATCTGAGCAGTGCTATTGTTGAGCCAGGGGTAGGCTGCCAACCAGAATGCTGTTAATGAAGAGGGGAAGGTCCTGGATCTGAGGTCCTCTCTTCTTTGTGTCTTCTTTCTTGAGCAAATCTCCTGATAATAAAATTTTATAATTCTTTTGGGGATAGATGACAATTACTGTTTCAAAATCCTTCAAAGAATATCTTATCCGAGTTACTGCTTAATGTCTTTTTAGTGGAAGAAGAAATGCTGGACTTACCAGGATAACTATGGATTATCACATCAGTCAAAAAGTTCTCAGTTAGTGTGTGACCTTATGAAAGGGTATATATATATATTTTTTTCATTCGTGGAAGACTAGGTCTTCCATTTTGTGTGTTTGTTCAGTATGTTTTGAACAATATTTCTCTTGACAATCAGAAAACAGTTCAGGAACTCAGAGCTCAGGAAACCTAATTCAAGTACTGCTGGTACATTGTTTAACCTTGGTAGATACGTAATCATTCTAGGCATTGAAAACAAATGAAGTAACTCCACAGTAATGTGGCTGGTAGACACAACTTTTTGAAAGGGTCACCAGCCTTGTGACATTCCAGTGAGATATGAATATTTGCTGTCATCCAAAAAAGTACATAATGCATAGATAACAAGTTTGTACACCTTCTCAAGGGGCCATCTGAACCTGAGGCATGAACTATAAATACCCTTCCTCAACTCAGCAATGCAGCCAGGGATCTCTACTTAAGAGAGGTGCTTATTGGGTATTCATCCTTTCTGATGGAGGCATAATACTCCATGCCTCCAACAGAAAGGATGAGTACCCAACTTTTGCAGCAACATAGACGGGACTGGAAGAGATTATGCTGAGTGAAATAAGTCAAGCAGAGAGAGTCAATGATCATATGGTTTCACTTATTTGTGGAGCATAACAAATAGCATGGAGGACAAGGGGAGATGGAGAGGAGAAGGGAGTTTAGGGAAATTGGAAGGGGAGGTGAACCATGAGAAACTATGAACTCTGAAAAACAACCTGAGGGTTTTGAAGAGGTGCGGGGGTGGGAGGTTGGGGGAACCAGGTGGCGGGTATTAGGGAGGGCAAGGATTGCATGGTGCACTGGGTGTGGTGCAAAAACAACAAATACTATTACACTGAAAAGAAATAAAAAATTTAAAAAAAGAAAAAAAAAAGAGAGGTGCTTGTTCAGAGCCTCCCTTTAGGGAGATAGTCTGCCAATGTTGATAAGGTCAACGTTTCCATTTCAATGCAGATTCACTCCACCCCACCATGATTATAGATATCATTGCCCACCTAACTATTTTGGTCACATGGAGAAACTCATGATGTGTTTTAGATTGTGGGAAATTCACAGTTGTTACAGGGAAATAGACTTGAATGATTTGCTTACTGACAGGAAGTGTCACCATTATGTGAAAGAAAATAGTTATTGGAGTTCTAATCAAATATTCTTCCTTTTTTTCATGGAAGCTGTTTCCTCTGCCTCTCCTCTACGTTGGAAACCACATAAGTGGATTATCAAGCACAAGTAAATTAAGGTAGAGTGCAGGAGAATGGTTGATGGGAGGTTTTTGACTCATTTATTTCCAGTGGTACTAAGACCAAGTTTGATTTTGAATATACTGCCTGGGCTACATACAGAAGACAATAATATTTACTAATTTAAGAAAACTAAGTGGAGTTTTGAGTTTAATTTGCTTATATTTTTAGGAAACTTAAATAGCTGATGTTTTTCCTTTTTATTCAAGTCTGAACATAGAATGTGAGATCTGTGGGCATCAAGACAGAGAATGTCTGACTTATCCAGGTGGATTTATTTATGTTGTATAACCAATATCCAGTACATTTATATGAATGGTTCTGTGTAACTGGTTTTATCATGGTTTTGTAAAATCAGGAACATCCTGTCAGATTTAGTAGGTCAGGTTTGGTCCAGAGAAAAATAAGGGACAGATGTTATTTTTAAGTGTGTTATATACTTCTGAAATTTGCATTTTCATGTGTTTTAGGGTCCTTTGATTAACTACTTTTATTAAAAGTCACTATAAAAATGGGAATGGAAGTATAGAAAGACCAAGCCACTCTCTACACTGGAAAACTTGGATGTGAGCTGTGTAGCCTAACTAACACATATGAATGCAGGTGTAAATAACGAGAAAATGAAGTTTGTGCAAAGGATGACAGATATTGAGGAAAACCTTGTTAGTTCGGTGAGAGCAACAGGGGGCAGGTAGAAAGTAGACCAGAAGGAGAAGGTCAGATAAAACAGACAACTGAAATCAGACCTGTCATCTTTCCTCTTGTTTGGAAAGGACAGGTTGTGATTATGGAAAACAAAATGTGAAATGTTGGTTGTAGTTATACATTTTAGTTGTTTTTTTCCCTTGTTTATTTGTTTGTTTATTTGTTTCTTTCACTCAGGACAATCAGTTTTCCTTATTTGTCTCAAATTTGTGTTAAAGCGTCTTGTGGTAGGTGCTATCCCTATGTTACCATGTATCTTGTTGGCCTCTGAGTGAGTGCACCTGCTGCTGCCCCTCACGCTGAAGGGCTTTGGGGGTCTCTGCTTCCTAGATGAGAGCGGCTTCTTCTTTTTTAAAAAGTGATTTTAGAAACACCCTTACTACAAGTGTTCTAAAATGCTCTACATGCATTGCAGAATGGGTATAATTTCTCTTCACCGATATGGCACCCTTCTCGAGTACCAAGCAAGTAGCAGTGTTAGAAATATCTTTACCGCACATGTTCTTAAACACTTTCTACGTGCATCTGAAAGAGGGAAGAGGGGGCGTGCCTTGGGTGCCATGGGGCTTTCTGGAAAAGAGAAGGAACCAGAAAATGAGACTGAGTAGGAAGAAAGATTGTTTATGCAGGGTATCATGTAATGCCTTCCCCTGTGCCTCATATTTTCCGTAAATGGGTGATTGGTTCTACTGGTTTGATCATCTTCAGGTTCAGTTTTTCAGGCAAGATCAGTCTATTGGTATGTTGGGTCCTTCCTACTGTATCATGGGACCACAAAATATTTTAGCCCACTTTTTTTTTTTAAAGATTATTTATTTATTTATTTATTTGACAGAGAGAGACACACACATACACACACAGCGAGAGGGAACACAAGCAGAGGGAGTGGGAGAGGGAGAAGCAGGCTTTCCGCTGAGCAGGGAGCCCAACACGGGACTCAATCCCAGAACCTTGGGATTGTGACCTGAGCCAAAGGCAGATGATTAACAACTAAGCCACCCAGGTGCCACACCCCACTTTTTAAAAAATAGCTTTTTGAGGTGTGATTGGCATAAAGTAAAGTACATATAATTAAAATGCACATTATGATAAATTTTGACCTATGTATATACATCTGTGAAATCCATCACCACAATATCCAACACCCACAAAAATTTCCTCAAGTGTCCTACTTATAATGATATTAAGTTGATCAATTCCCTTTTTAATAATTTTAAGGGATCAGTCTGGTCCCTTCATTTAGAAAGTGCCCCATCTGTCTTTCACCTAATGGTTTTAACATTCATTGATGATAATTTCCTTGATCCATTATTTCATTACAATTTGCAATATGGTGATTTTCTAACTATATCACCCCATCTGCATGTGTTGTCTAAATTTTAATAAATACAAACTTTCACCATGTCACACAAGAAAGGCAGGATTAAGCTTTATTTATACATGTTCAGAATAATAAATTAGTGTCCTGTCACCTTCAGTGGTGACCAGTGAGTTTTTGTTTATCTTTGTTTTTTTTGCTATCATTATAAACTCATGAATTTTCATTTATTTGATAGAAATTTTTTGTCAGATATGTGTTTTGCAAATATTTTCTCTCAGTCAGTAGTTGGTCTTTTCATTCTCTTAATACTGTCTTTCAGAGCAGAAGTTTTAAATTTTAATGAAGTTCCATATCAATTTTTTCTCTCATGGATCATGCTTTTGGTATTGTTTTGGTTTGTTTTAAGATTTTATTTATTTATTCAACACAGAGAGAGAGAGAGAGAGAGAGAGAGAACAAGCAGGGGGAGTGGCAGGCAGAAGGAGATGCAGACTCCCTGCTGAGCAGGGAGCCTGATGTGAGACTTGATCACAGGACCCTGGGATCATGACCCGAGCTGAAGGCAGAGGCCTAACCAACTGAACCACCTGGATTCCCTGTGCTTTTGGTATTGTTTTTTAAGAACTCATTGCCAAGTGGCGTCTGGGTGGCTCACTCAGTTAAGTGTCTGACTCTTGATTTCGGCTTAGGTCATGATCTCAGGGTTTTGAGATTGAGCCCTATGTCAGGCTCCATGCTCAAAGGGGTGTCTTCTTGGGATTCTCCCTCTTCCTCTGCCTCTCCCCACTTCCCTCTATTAAAATAAAAAGTTTTATATCTATCTATCTATCTATCTATCTATCTACATATATATTTATATGAAAGTTCATTGTCAAGGGGTGCCTCATTGGCTCAGTCAGTAAAGCGTGAGACTCTTGAACTTAGGGTTGTAATTTGAACCCCATATTGGGTATAGAGATTACTTTTAAAAAAGTTACAAAAAATAAAAATAAAAACTCATTGCTGAAACCAACATCACCTAGATTTTCTCCTATGCAATGCTATCTTCCAGGAACTTAATAGTTTGCATTTTACATTTAAATGTATAGCCTGTTTTGATTTTATTTGTGAAAGGTATAGGGTCTATCTGGATTCTGTTTTTTTACATGTCGCTGTCCAGTTGTTTGAGCATCATTTGTTGAAAAGATCTTCCTTTCTCCATTGAATTATGTTTGCTCCTTTGTCAAAGATGAGTTGATTATATTTGTGTAGGCTTATTTCTGGACTCTCTAGTCTGTTCACTTCATCTATTTCATTACTCGTTATTTCAAGTCATTTTATAAATAATTCTTTTGATATTCACATTATCCCATCTCAGGCCAATGAGAGCCCCTTTGAGCAGGCTTTTATGTTCTAGGGCCCCAGTAATCTGATTACTTCCTTGCTGTTTGGCACATGATGTCCCAGGCTTACGTTGGAGTTTTCCTGCCATTTCTCCAAGGATCCCCTGGTTAATTTAATGTTAAAGGTTATGTTGAGGCCACAGTCTGGGTGCTATATATATTGTGAAGGAACAGCCAACACAGTTTCCTGATGATTAACATGTGGAATGTGCGACAAAGATGACTTTATGGTTTTTGGAAGAATGGGATTACCATTGATTGGTAATGACTTCATGGTTTTTGGAAGAATGGGATTACCATTGATTGGATCTATGCCTAAGAGGATTTCTGGTCATTAGGCAGTTCTCTGTTTAAATATTTTCAGGAATTGTCAAACTGTTTCCCAAGGTGGCTACACCAACTTACAGTCCCACCAGCAGTGTAAGAAGGCTACAGCTTCTCTACATTCTTGCCAAATTTGTTATTGTCTATCTTTTGGGTTATAGTTCTTCTAGTAGTTGTAAAGTAGTATCTTGTTGTGGTTTTGATTACATTTCTCTGATGGCTAATGATGCGAAGCATCTTTTCATGTGCTTATTGGAGATCTATACATATAGATATGTATCTGTATCTATCTATATATATATCTATTCAAATCTTCTGCCTATTTTAATAGGGTTATTCATCTTTTTAAGTATTGTCTTCTTTATATTTTATATACATAGGTGCCTTATTATCTGTATGATTGCAAAGTTTTCTCTTATTTTGCGGGCTTTTACTCTCTAAATGGTATACTTTGAAGCAAAAGTTTTAGGTTTTTCAAAATTTAACAAAGTAAAATATACATAACGTATAATTTATCATTTTAACCAATTCTTAAAAAAGATTTTATTTATTTATTTGACAGAGAGAGAGGGATCACAAGTAGGCAGAGAGACAGGCAGAGAGAGAGGGAGCAGCAGGCTCCCTGCCGAGCAGAGAACCCGATGTGGGGCTCAATCCCAGGACCCTGAGATCATGACCCGAGCTGAAGGCAGAGCCTTAACCCACTGAACCACAGAGCCACCCCTGTTTTAACCATTTTTATGTGTACATTTCATTGACATTCAGTATATTACAGTGATGGGCAACCATCTCCACTATTTCTAGAACTTTTGCATCATCTTAAACTGAAGCTCTGTACCCATTAAATAGTAACTCCCCCATTTTCTCAGGCTCCCAGTCACTGGTAACCTCTATTTTACATTCTTTCTCTATGAATTTGCCTACTATAGATATTTCATACAAGTGAAATCATACAATCTTTGTCCTTTTAAATTATGAATTTTTTTCAATGAGCATAATGTTATCAAGGTTTATCCATGTTGTAACATGTATCAGAATTTTATTCCTTTTTTCTTTTACAGTAAACTCTAAGTCCAGTGTGGGACTCAAACTCACAACCCCAGATCAAGAGTGCTCTACTGACTGAGCCAGCTAGGCACCTCTGTTCCTTTTTTTTTTTATTTTTATTTTTTTTTGTTTAAGCTAAATAATATTCTATTGTTTGTATGTATCACCTTTGATTATCCATTATTCAAAATTGAAAATTTTGATGGAGCTAATTTAACAATTTTTTCTTTTGCTGCTTGTGCTTTTGGTATTGTATCTTAGAAGACCTTGCCTCATCCAAGGTCATGAAGATTTACCTCTATGTTTTCTTCTAAGATTTTAATAATTTTAGTTCCTATTGGAAGTCTCCTACAAAGACTTTAGGTCTTTGAAACATTGTGAGATCAATTCCTGTATGTGGTTTGAGGAAGTGGTCCATATTCCTTCTTTTGCATGTGGGTGGATAGTCAGTTGTTCCAGTACCGTTTTTTTGAAAAGATATTTCTTTCTCCATTGTATTGTCTTGGCACCCTTCTTGAAAATGAATTGACCATAATTGTATGGATTTATTTCTCGATTGTTTTAAAAATTTCTTGATTCTTAATCCTATTCATTTGATTATATTTCTATACTGATTATGGTAGCTTTGTAGTAAGTTTTGAAATTGGGTCCACAAACTTTGTTCTTTTTCAAGATTGTTTTGGCTTTCTGGTTTCCTTGTATTACCATATTAATTTTAGAATCAGCTTGTCAGTTTCTGGGGGGAAAAGCCAACTGACATTTTGACAAGGATTCTGTTGGCTCTATAGATCTGTTTCAGGGAGTATTTCCATTTTAATAATGTTAAGCCTACTGATCCAGAAACATGAAGTATCTTTCCATTCATGCTTCTTTAATATTCTAATAATATTTTGTAGTTTTTAGTATACAAGTCTTATACTTCTTTTCTTAAATTTATTCCTAAGAATTGTGTTCTTTTTCATGTTATCTTTAACAGAATTGTTTTAATTTCCTTTTTGGATTGCTCATTGCTAGTGTATAGAAGTATAACTGATGTGGGACGCCTGCGTGGCTCAGTCGGTTAATTGGCTGCCTTCGGCTCAGGTCATGATCCCAGGGTCCTGGGATCGGGTCCTGCATTGGGCTCCTTGCTCAGCAGGGAGCCTGCTTCTCTCTCTCCCTCTGCCTGCCACTCTGCCTGCTTGCATTCTCTCTCTCTCTCTCTGTCAAATAAATAAAATCTTAAAAAAAAAAGAAGTATAACTTATGTTTATATATTCAATTTTTTCCCTGTACTCTTGCTTAACTATTAGCCCAGATAACTCTTTAGTGGATTACTCAGGGTTTTCTATATATGTCATCTGCAAATAGAGATAACTTCATTTCTTCCTTTCCAAACAGTATGCCTTTTTTTCCCCTCCAGCTGAGTTGCCCCTTTTAGAATCTCAAGTACTTTTTGAATCGATGTGGTATTGAGAGCAAGCATTATGGTCTTATTACTGATCTTAGGGGGGAAACATTCAGTTTTTCATCATTAAATATACCTTACTTGCTTTTAAAAGACATCATGTAAAAATGCTTTTTGGAATTAATTGACTTTTGGCTTACTTTGAAAAAGGCAGTTCTAACCAGTCTCATAAGTTACAAAGTTCCTGAAAATTCTTTCTGTACCTGCTCTCTTTTTGTGGGATCACTGATCACATGCAACCCCGCCTCAGGTCTGGTCAGGAGGAGCTGGCCACTGTCTTTGTGGCTCTGGTTCTGACTTTCCTTCTCTAGGTCTCCATCTTCTCAGAGTCACATCTGGAAGCAGATGAAAGTGGGCTGTTCAAGCCCAGGCAGTTTGTTGGCTATGCACTGAGCTGTGTCTTAGAATCTCTGGGTTTTGACAGCCAGTGAAATGTTCTTAAATATTTTTAAAAGGTAGTGAATATGTCTTCATTACCTAATGTTTTTTGGGAAAAATAACCCATAATTTTATTCTCTAACATACTATTTAGTTTATTTATTTTTTTTTTAAGATTTTATTTATTTATTTGACAGAGAGAGAGAGATCACAAGGAGGCAGAGAGGCAGTCAGAGAGAGAGAGAGGAGGAAGCAGGCTCCCTGCTGAGCAGAGATCCCGATGCGAGGCTCGATCCGGGACCCTGAGATCATGACCTGAGCCGAAGGCAGAGGCTTTAACCCACTGAGCCACCCAGGCGCCCCTTTAGTTTATTTTTTAAAAAGATTTTATTTATTTATTTGAGGAGGGGGAAAGGCACAGAGGGAGAGTGAGAGGGAGAAGCAGACTCCCCGATGAGTGAAGAGCCTGATGTGGGGCTCGACCCCAGGACCCCAGGATCACGACCTGAGTGGAAGGCAGATGCTTAACTGACTAAGCCACCCAGGCACCCTTAGCATACTATTTTATTTTTTTTTAAAGATTTTATTTATTTATTTGACAGAGAGAGAGAGATCACAAGTAGGCAGAGAGGCAGGCAGAGAAAGAGAGGGAAGCAGGCTCCCTGCTGAGCAGAGATCCCTATGCGAGGCTCGATCCCAGGACTCTGAGACCATGACCTGAGCCGAAGGCAGAGGCTCAACCCACTGAGCCACCCAGGCACCCAACATACTATTTTAAACATCTATTTCAGTCTTTTCCCATATGGTGGACTGCATCTTGTTTCAGTAGTAGACTCTATGTAGTTTTGTGCCCTCTTTATTTAATATTAATTTTCTAATAGTAACATAAAGTTTTATATTATAGAGTTAACACATAATGTTCCCTCAGGTAGATTCATCATATTTTTTTTTTTTATTAATCATTGTCTTGTATGACTTTTAAGTTGTTTCTGATGTTTTCCCCAAAGATGATATTGCAGTGAACACATTTTTGCACGTGGTTTTTTCTTCTTTTGTATTATTACTTCAGGGTAAGTGTCCCAACAAGAAATAATTAGGTCCAAGGTTAGCAGAACTTAATGACTATTGATACATTGTTCCAACTCGATTTGCTGAAGGGTGTGTTGGTTTACATCACATACAATCTTTTAGCATGTTCTTTGTAGTTTTAGCACAATCTTTTCAGTAGTTGGGTTGCATGATTTTTAAAAATTGTTAAGTGAAAATAATTGCTAATAAGTGAAAGTGGCATGAAACTATTAAATCTGTTTCTTTTTTTAATTTAATGTGATTTGTTAATGGTATAGGTGAGAATTAAGGTTAATTTCTATGTTTAATTTGGAAAGTTAGTGAGCTTAATTAAAAATGTAAAACATGTTAAAAAAATACGTGGCATCTGATGTTATTATATTTGAATCTTTTCCCAACAGCTTGCCGATGTTCACTGTGCTCAGGAAATTTACCATTCCACTCACTTTACTCCTGGAAACCATCATACTTGGGTGATTCTTGTTTTTCCTCTATTCCTCTTGTGTCCTTTCCCCTCATCCCACATTATTTTTATGTAGCAAATTCTCAACATCTAGTTATCTTTCCAAATAGTTGTTTTGAATTGCTAGTAGCAATAACTTAGGGCCCCAGGGTTTATTCACTTAAAAGCATCTCCTGTTTCCATGATTCCTTAAGAACATAATGTGTGATTTTTTTACATCGTAATTTTATATTAGATTAATAATATGTGTTTATGATAGAAAATTATTTTAAAAATGCAAGAACCTCAAAACAGATGTAAATATGTTTCCTGGATCAGATGGAATGTACACTGATTTTGGAATACAGAGGAAAAATTGTCCGTGTATACATATAGGATAGAAATGCAGGAAATCCCAGAAATCCATTCTGATATAGTGATGGTGATGTAACATAGGAATAAGTTAATTCTTATAATGTTTGTTTAAAAATCTCTCATAAAGATACTCAGGCTGGTCTAAAAAGGTGAGTCTTAGTTTTGCTGGGAAGATTATTTAGCAATGAAATTTGGATGATGGCCCAGTGTTCTAAATCCTACTGTTGAATTTTATCCTAATCTTTGGATGCTTGATAGAAGACCAACTAGAACTGCCAGCAGGGACTCTTCTGCATTTTGTCACAGCATCTTTCCAATGAGAACAGAGAAATACATTTATAATTAGATTAGACAGCTGCTTAAGAAATACATTTGATCTAATTTATTAATCCACTTACAGGTGCTTACAGTGCTTTCTCTAGGTAAAGTGATGTCCATTAGATTTTAGCCATAAGACTGTGAACAATGTCTGTTTTCAGTTCAAGAGTCATAATCCATGTTTTTTCCTGTCTTACTCCTTCCCTTCTCTATCCATCTAGGAAACAGTATTCCTTGAGCATCATCGTCAGTGTTTTTACCATTGTGCTTGGTGCTTTCATAGCAGCTGGGTAAGACTTTGGACTGTTTCTGCTCAATAACTTCTTTGTACCTTTGACAATAGGCCCGGCCCCACCCTCATTTTCCATTCTCCATCTGGCTGCAGTTGAATTGAGCAGCCAAGAGACAAGTCTGTTGATGTCAATGGGTTCCCCATGTGTTCCTGTGAAAGTCAGACTGGGTCCCAACTTGGCCAGAACATTTCTGAGAACATGTAAAGGGAACATTAGAAGATATGAATACAGCTTTTCTCCCTAAAAAGGAGTAAACTATTTGCTATTATTACTGAATGTTTGCCTTTAATACAGAAATTCACTTGAAGAGTTCTTGGGCATCTGGTCAAGAATAACAGCTTTATAAAGCCCTTGCAGGCTGATTTGTTTTGTCACCTGTGATGCCTTAGCAGTCTGTTTCCAAGGGTGGCATGCTCTCATTAAATGTATTTGCATATTTGGGACATAAGCCAATACCAGTGTATGACTAAGTGGATCCTTGAACAACACGGGGATTAAGGGCACCAACACCCTCTCCCCCCACTACATAGTGGAAAATCCGAATTTAACTTTTCACTCCTTAAAAACTTCAGTACTGATAGCCTATTGTTGACTGGAAGCCTTACACAGATAAATGGACCAGTACGGTTCAAACCTCTGTTGTTCAGGGTCAGCTAGAGTGTGTTATTCATTAATATGCAAGAGCAGGAATGTGGACTTCCAGGTTTGCAGTTGCAAGCAGACACTCAGACTCCTGGCTTTTACAGCCTAGTGGTTAAAACATGTGTGCAGTTATATTCTGTGGGTCCAGAACTTAGCCTGGCTCTTGTCACCTGTTTCTCAGCCCCTCTCTGCCTCAATTTTACTCATCTGTAAGGTAAAGAATGTAATAGAAAAGAAAAACCTGCCTGAGTAAAGGGAAGAATGCAAAGATTGGATGAATTTCAGTTAAACTAGTTTCCTTAACTGATTTATTTGGATGATACTTACTCTCTGGGGGCACCTGGGCACCTGGGCAGCTCAGTCGGTTAAGCATCCAACTCTCAATTTTGGCTTAGATCATGATCTCAGGGTCCTTAGATTGAGACCAGCATCTGACTCCATGCTCAGCACAGAGTCTGCTTGTCCCTCTCCCTACCACTGCTCTCTCTCTTTCTCTCTCTCAAATAAATAAATAAATAAAATCTTAAAAAAAAATAAAAGTTCTGGATCACTAATTGCAAAATAAATAAGGGTGTGGATACTCTCTTCTAGTCTCTTCACTTACTAGGTATATAAGTAGGCCAGGCTATTTAACTTCCCTGCACCCCAGTTATTTCAACTATAAAATAGAGATTAGAATGGACCCACCTGAATGCAAGCTGGTATGGCCACTCTGGAGAACAGTATGGAAGTTCCTCAAAAAGCTGAAAATAGAGCTACTGTACGACCCAGCAATTGCACTACAGGGTATTTACCCTTAAGATACAAATGTAGTGATCTGAAGGGGCACCTGCACCACAGTGCTTTATAGCAGCAATGTCCACAGTAGACAAACTATGGAAAGAGCCCAGATGTCCATCAACAGATGAATGGCTAAAGAAGATGTGGTTCATATACACAATGGAATACTATGCAGCCATCAATAGAAATGAAATCTTGCCATTTGCAATGATGTGGATGGAACTAGAGGGTGTTAGGCTAAGCAAAATAAGTCAGTCAGAGAAAGACAATTATGATATGATCTCACTGATGAGGAATTTGAGAAACAAGACAGAGGATCATAGGGGAAGGGAGGGAAAAATGAAATAAGATGAGAAACCAGGGAGGGAGATTAAACATGAGAGACTCTTAATCTCAGGAAACAAATTGAAGGTTGCTGGGGGGTAGAGGGGGAGGGATGGGGCGGCTGGGGGATGGGCATTGGGGAAAGTATGTGCTATGGTGAGTGCTGTGAATTGTGTAATGCTGATGAATCAAAGACCTGTATCCCTGAAACAAATAATACATTAGATGTTAATTTAAAAAAAAAAGACCCACTTAATAGGATCTTTGTGTGAATCAAATGGCATAACAATAAAGTGGGGTTTATACACTAGTATGTGGCCAAAACCATGTTGAGTGTTTACTGTCAGGTGTAGACTTAGCTGTGGCGGGGTGGGTGGGAATCCAGCAGTTAACAAAACAGACAGGAATCCTTGCTTTCGAGGAGCTTCCTTTCTAGTTGGTGGCGACAGACAGTAAGCAAAAGAAACAGATTAGAAAACAGGGCATGCCAGATGGTGACAGATAATGAGGATTTTTTTTTTTTTTTTAATTTTACATGTGTTAGTTTCTTGCCTAGACCACAGTTTGTTATTTATGGTTTTGTTGGTAACGTCCTCCTTCTCAGTCCTGGCGGTGGCTGAGTTGACCCCCCCTGCGAGCTGGCCCCTGATTTGAGCACTATTTCCGGCCTCTGGTTGGAGCCAGCATGGACAGGAAATGGCAGCACTGAGAGCCTATTGTAGTCTTGAAGTTTTGTTCCAAGAAAGTCCTAGGAGCAAAGGAGCTAAAAGAGGGAGGTGCTCTGTTGAAAGCACCCTTCTCCCACAGTGCTTTGGGGTGTCCCCTGGGCAGCCTCTCTTTAATTAAGTTCCTTTGAGCTCAATTTGGAAACTATTGACTTTGAGGCAGTTGTACACTTTTCCAAAAGAATGGTTTATAGAAATGTCTGGAAGGCTTTGGTGAGAAATGGCACTTTAGATGCTGTGTCTGGAGGCATATTTCCAGCCCCAGTGAGTGGAAATTCAGCTCATAGTTACCACATATGATATTCTAATGAGCTGCAAGGGTAAATAGTGTTTTCAGAGCATTGCATATCCCCCCAAGAGCTAGCTTGGAGCAGCACTTCTCAACGTTTCCCTTCTTTAGCACCCAGAGAATGGATACTCTCTGGGTGGGTGACAAGCACCCTTCGCAGAAGGCCGGCCATCACCCCACCCTTCTCTCCTCTCATTAAGATCTTCTTATCCAAATGCAAATTACTGTAGAGCTGATTCAGTCAAATGGGCTAGTTTATGCTGCTGTAACACACAGCTCCCACATTTACACACCGAATATATTCTGCTCACACTGCATACTCAGACCAAAGTTAGTTACACGGGGATGGGGTGTGGGGGGGTGCTCTGCTCATTGTAGTTACTTAGGGACCAAGGCTGATGAAACCCCTGCCTCAAAAGGGACTTCCTTCCTCACCCAGGAGGGAAGAAGGCATGTGGGGAATCATGTGTTGGCTTTTAAGACTTTTGCTTGGAACTGCCATGTGTTACCTCCTCTTACATTTTACTTGCCAGACAAGTCACATGGCCAGAAAAAGTCAAACTATTATTTCTGAAAACAGCCCTAAATGACAACTACAAGGGTTAACCATGAATCTGCTCTCATGTATTAAAGCAAGCAAATTGTTTTCAAACTTCTGTGCTTTTACCAGTGGCCTGAATGAGTGGTGTTGGGGACGTGTAGCCCCTGGAGTAGGAGACCTGAGAACTCTGGGAATTTCCCTCAGGCTCTCCGAGGAAGTGAGCGACACCTTTCCACTCCCCTAGGAACCTGAGTTTTTTTTTTTTTTTTTTTTTTTTAATCCATTCAACTCTTTGCCACTTTATGCAATAGCAGACTCTTCTTAACACAGAGCCAAATGTGGGTAGGCGTGAGATTTGGAAGACCCTTATTTTGAGAGATTCTATTTTTTGTGATTGAGCCAGCGAATTCTGATTTATGATGATCTAAAATTAATTTGCATTCTCACAAATATATTTGTAGTTAATAGTACCAGCAGAAGCCTTGAATAAATCTGGTTTAATTTGGATTCAAATTTTGATGATATTTTTGCCACTTTCCCCCCTTCTCTTTGGTTAGAAATAGTCTTTAAAAAATTTATTTTTTTTAATTTTGCTGGGATCAGGATATGCCACTCCAAAATAGGCCAGTTAAGCATAAACATTATTTTGAGCTGAAGGCAATTAATTGAGAATCAACAGATGTAGAAAGAATTCTCTGTCTTCCCCTTTCCTGGCTAAAAGCAGACCATAAATTTCCTTTTGTAAGAGTGGTCCCCCCTCCTCCCTCCACCCTGAACCCTGCACCGGGAATAGGAAAGCAGTTCTTATTACTGGTGATGGAGAATCAGTACCAAGAGGAGTCTGCATAAATAACCCTTACTACAATAATCCTTCTCTTCCATTAGTTTCCCCTATAAGTTTCTTAGTCTTCATTCCATAATTTATTTGTTCCTTGGAATCCATACTTCTTCATTTTTAAAATGATATGTAAGCCCCAGAGTCTCACTACTTATTTGAGATTTATTTTTTGTGAACTCCTTTACATGTAAAATATTTAATAAAAGTTGTATTCCTTTTCTCTTGTTAACCTACTGTCAGTCAAATTTGCAGGCTCCAGTCACTGAACCTGAGAGTGTAGAGGAAGCCCTTTTGATGCTAAGTATTTCTGAATTATGACATGGCTCTCATACTGTAAGACCAAGTGTGGTAGATTAGTCACCTCAGGGCTCAGCTGTTCTCTCTGTCCTCCCTGAGCCATTTTTATACTAGTCCTCCCTGAACATTTTTATGTCCTCCCTGAACATTTTTATACTAGTATTATTTATATAAAATGGAAATTGAAGAGAAGATGGTTCAAAAGGATGGGGAGAAGGGAGTCTTAGAGGAGTTGCGGAGAAGGAATGGATCCCTGCCTTGTTTTATCATAGGACAAGATGTGATGGGTACCCAGCCATCACGGTGGGTGATGTGACCGGCTGGGTACCAGATGGAGGTGTCAGTTCCTCATTCGACCCCTCTTGCCCCAGTAACTGCCCAGCTGTTCCCACAGGGCTGTACGGGGAGATGGCCCTGTTTATTACAATAAGCAAAGCCACTGGGTGGGTTGGACAAATCACTCCCTTTAGAAAAGAAGGGCATCACCAATGATTATGCCAGTTGATTGTTAGTGAAAGAAAGACCTTTGCCGTTGAAGGAAGATGGTTAATGTCCCTTTGGTGTTAAGCCATTCATGATTAAATTGAAGCCACCTGATGGCCTGGTTTTGTTTTGTCTGGAGGCAGAGCAGAGGAATTAACCACAGAGGGGGAAAATATGCCAGAGGAAAAAAAAAGGTAGTTACCAGCATCACAAGTGGATTTGATTAAGGAAAGATAAAACAGGCGGGCTTTGAAGGCCAAGCTGTGTGAGTTTCTGAATAATCATCCTCCTTTTTGTGTTCTTCCTTCCAGTTCTGACCTCGCCTTTAACTTGGAAGGCTATATTTTTGTATTCCTGAATGATATCTTCACAGCAGCAAATGGAGTTTATACCAAACAGAAAATGGACCCCAAGGTACCAGACCTTCGCTCCTGTGGTTTTTAGGCTTTGTCATCTGGCCCCTGAAGTTGCATGAAAAAAGGAATGAATTTGTAAAGTTGGCATGTAATTTAATTTACATGGTATGCTTTATAAATCACTGATTTCTTTTCAGTTATCCTGTCTGTATGCGTTCTTGTTACCCCTGACCCTACAAAGTTTTGGGTGAAAATCAGATAGGGAGGGAAAAGATACCACTATTTTCGAGGCAGAGTCAGAATATGTAAAGAGGAGATTATTTTGAAAGGCAAAATAAACTTAAAAGTTTTTTGCTGTCCTCCTCAGTGAGCAAGGCAAAGTTGGGGGTATTCTGAAGCAACCCCAGTTTGGGAGCCTGAAGATGTGGGTGACATAAGTTTTCGTGGTCTCTGTGACTTGGACACTTAACTCCTCCAGACTTCAGATTCTTTTGTGGCATGGCCATCGTATCTGGTCCTGGCCAGGGATAAGTGCCTCTCCTGATCAGCCGTTGAGCAGTCCCCCCCCCCAGAGACTGGTGGGCAGACGAGCCTGCTTGCACGGGGCTGCCCCCCTGCCAAGGCCCCTCGTGCTTCCCCCGCCCCAGCTGTTCCAGGAACCCTGGAGGATGAGCCAGGCATATGTTGCCTTGTTTCAAGTTCTTTGTGTTGAGTGAGGGAGTTTGCTCAGAAGGACAGACTTGTTTCCACAAGCTGTTTTTTTTCTGCATGGCCCTTTGTTTTTTTTTTAACTGGTGGCAATTTTACACAAACAGGTTTGTTGCCTCTTGAGGGTCCCAATAGGTCACCCTTTATGAGAAATGGTGGAGAAGGGGTGTAGCCACTTTGATGAAAAGTAAATTTATTCAAGATTAGAAAAGGAGATACCTGGTGTTTTAACACCGCTGCTTCTTGACAGAAAGAGCAGATGTTTTTAAGGAGTTCTGTTTATATTAACACTTTCAATGTTCTTTATTTTGTTCCAGATTTCCCATTCTGAATACAATACTTAGAAAAAAGAAACAAAATCAGAATGGTAGAGATGGGTGGGACCTCGGAGGCCCTCCATTTTTATCTGTAATTTTTGTATAAAATAAATGTTTATTTTGCTATCATGATGTACTTGAAGTGAAGCCTTTTATATTAGGAATTTGCTAAAAAAAAAAAAAAAAGGAATTTGCTGAAAATATTCCAACACAGAGTTGGTCTGAATAGATTTTTAACTCTGCATAAATACATAATTGTGTAAATGGCTCCAGGAAATTTGATGCTTTGTATTTCTAAAATTGAGTGTTTCCTTTGCTTTTGTAGGAGTTGGGGAAATATGGAGTGCTTTTCTACAATGCCTGCTTCATGATTATACCGACTCTTATCATTAGTGTCTCTACCGGAGACCTTCAACAGGTAAGCTGAGGATGGTCATCGCAGTCCGACTGAGCAGTCTTTTAAAGTCTTTTTTTTTTTTTTTTTTAAGATTTTATTTATTTATTTGACAGACGGAAATCACAAGTAGTCAGAGAAGTAGGTAGAGAGAGAGGAAGGGAAGCAGGCTCGCTGCTGAGCAGAGAGCCCGACTCGGGACTTGATCCCAGGACCCTGGGATCATGACCTGAGCTGAAGGCAGAGGCCCTAACCCACTGAGCCACCCAGGTGCCCCTCTTAAAGTCTTAATAGTTAACTTCTGGCACTCACTGCAGGGAAGTGTGTAATGGTGGTAAGTAGGATGAGCAGGAGGGGCTCTGAAAGCAAGACCTGTGATATCCCCAGCAGCAAGCACCTTTGGCACAATCGTTTCTTTGGTGTTTATCTTCAGACACATGGGAAGCAGCAGAAAGTAGTAACAAGAACTCCGGACTTGAAGATTTTTTGAAAACAATGACAGTAAAAATCTGAATTTGAGTCTTAATATCTCTATTTGCTGATGTGGGGATCCTGGGAAAACTAACTTAGAAGGGGATTTTGATCGTTTAAAAAATGGATTTATTTATCTCCTGCCTTTATAATGGACATTTTGAAACATATGCAAAATAGAATAATCCAATGAATCTCACGTACCCACCACCACTTTTTGGCATTTTGCCATTCTTATTTCATCTATTCCCATCTGCTTTCATTCCTTTTTTCCTCCTGGAATATTTTAAAGCAAATTCCAGAGATCACGGAGTTTTGCATCTAAGTATTCTGGGAGGTACATTTGGAATTTTGAGAATGTGTTGTTTGGCATTTGTCCTGCTCACCTGTTTGCTGCACACACCTGAGAGACAAATAAAATGGTCTAGGAATAGAGGAGGTCCAGCTGGAGGGAGTGAAGGCCATCCCTCAGGAAGGGTGAAGATTCAGCCCGTAGCATCCTTACTGGCCACTTTGAAGTGTGCCAGCCCATGCCAAGCTCTGCTTTTCAGAAAGTTGCTAACCATAACACTTCTGAGAAGTGTTGTGTTGTGTTGTGTTGTTGTGTTGCCTGTATCTTAAGGGAGATTCTTAAGTTCATGCGAGAAAATTTGCTGGGCAGCACTTACCATCCAGCCTTGCATCTGCCCACAGAGCCAAGCCCCAGACACTAAGTCTCTGGTTGCGGGACCCAGTATCAGGGTTCAGAGGGGCCCTGTGCAGTGGCTGCTCACCCACCACAGGACACTGTTACTGTGTGTACTGATTAGCAGGCGTGTGTGGGCACACAGGTTGAGTGGATCCCATTTTGTAGCTTTTCCGGGGTTTGAATACTTCGAGAAGTTTGCAGCCTCTTGTGGGCTCCTAGGGTGGATGTTGGGGCTTCTCATTCTTTCTTAAAACTATACTTTCTTATTGGTACAATCCCTTTCCAAAAGAGGCAGAAGAACTTAGCAGCAATGCTATGAATGGCATGGTAACCAGAAACTGAATTTTAGGTACCTTATGAGTTAAATCCCCTGGATGTATCATGTTAATCATTTGTAACATTGTTCCCATAGGAATGTGTGTTCCCACATCCAAACCTTTGCTTTATGAACTTGTAACAGGTACTCTTAGAAGTTTTGCCTGCTTGTGGGGCGCTTGGGTGGGGCCCCTGGGTGGCTCCTGGGAACGTCTGACTCTTGGTTTTGGCTCTGGTCACAATCTCATGGGTTCGTGGGATGGGCCCCACAATGGGCTCTGCCCTCAGTAGACCGTCTGCTTCAAGTTTCTCTCCCTCTGCCCCTCCTCCCACTCCCTCTCTAAGATAAATAAACCTTTAAAAAAAGGTTTCACCTGCTGGTAATGCTTACATTGCAGAATTATACTTCCTCAATTAATAACAAAAATAATAGCTAATAATTATTGAGGACTTATCAGACTTTGTTCAAAGCATTGTACATGAACTATTTCACTGCTTTCCACAACAGCCCTCTGAGGAGAGGGTACTGCTGTTATGTTCATCTTTTAGATGAACCCAGTATTTAAATAACTTCCAGGGATACAGGGGATCCATCCAGGTAGTCTGATCGAGGAACACATCTTCCACTGTCCTCCCAGTTACTTCATTGTATATGAAAAGTACTTCTTTCCTTCATGCACGAAAAACCAGAACCTAGTGCTTATATCTTTAGAAAGTATAAGAGGCTGAACATACACTCTAACTTATTAAACAGTGGTGTTCTAGGAGAATATTATGCTTCTGTTCTGGCTTTTGGTGCTAAACTCTTTCAATATTTACCCTTGGCTAGCCTCTTCTGTTTGACCAGGCTCCTAAGATTTCAAACAGAAGGTACCTTCGAGCCCCAGTTGTGGTTACTAGTCACTGTAATTCCAGAACTAAATATAGAGATTAAAAAAAAAAAACTATATGAAAATTATAATTTAGAAAAAAATAGAATGTGTTTAAACCTGTAAGAAAGGTCTACTATAAAAATGAAAAAATACGAAGTCATGAAATTAAAACTTTGACTCTATTTTAATTTACAAGTATTGTATGATAAGAGTACCAAAAGATATGGGACAGTTTCTGTAATCAGTCATTTTTAAATCCCTGTAGAAAATATTTGGTATTTTTCACTAGTAAGATTGTTCTGCTCTGTTGCAAGTTTCTTTCAGTTGGTTACTTTTAACTATGGTTGAATCCATTTTAGATTGTGAACCAAATACAACAAAGAAAAGAACTTATGTAATTAGGTCTGCTAGTCTATAAAATTGCATTTTATTTGCAGTTTGGGGTGATTGTACCAAAAGTTGATTGATGAATTAGGGTAAAATGCTAACTTATTAACAGAAGAAGTACTTTGATGAGTCATTTTTCCTGGTTGACTGGAGAAGATCAGAGGTTGTGGTAAGACTTGTATGACTAACGGCACTAGAGTTCACTCCTGGACCTTGGACTTAAATAGTCAACAGATCTGGTAACAGCACCTTGATTCTGTCTCTGATTAGCAAAGGCAGCAATGCCATCTTCTCTTGTCAACAGTATAGGCCTTTGGAAAATACTGATTGGGTGACCTTTCTTTAGTCATCCAAATTGCTGCAATAGGTTCAGAGTATATGGTTTATTATAGTTGATGAATAGGAATAAATAATAAGATTTATTTTTCTGATTAAAAAACCCACATAAATGCAAAATAAAAAGATTCATACTCTACCATACTTTTACAACAACAGTAAGTCTAAAGGAAGCAGTACTGTATTGTTTAATTTCTGTTTTTTAAAAAATATTTTATTTATTTATTTGTGTGTGTGTGAGAGAGAGAGTGAGCAAGAAAGAGAGAATGAGCAGGAGATGCAGGGACAGGGAGAAGCAGATACCCCGCTGAGCAGGGAACACGACACGGGGCTCCATCCTAGGACCCCGAGATCATGACCTGAGCCAAAGTCAGATGCTTAACTGACTGAGCCACCCAGGCACCCCTCTGTTTTAAAATAAATGTCATACTACATCATTTTTTAAAATGTCACCAGCATAGCTTTATCATTATTAAAGGAACAAAATAAAGCTAAAATCTACTAAAATTTAGAGTGGCAAAGAATCCAAATATTTTTATGAAAATAACTACATGGCCCTCAAGTGGTTCAGGAATATAAATTTTAATTTACTGTTTGCAGAAATACTTCCAACTTGTTGAATGAATAAATGTTTCGCTACCCTTGGTTTGAAGTTCAGAGCATATGGTTTTCTATTATTTCCAGTCCTATTTTAATTTTATTTATTTATTTATTTATTTATTTAAAAGATTTTATTTATTTATTTGACAGACAGAGATCACAAGTAGACAGAGAGGCAGGCAGAGAGAGAGAGGGAAGTGGGCTCTGGGACTCGATCCCAGGACCCTGAGATCATGACCTGAGCCGAAGGCAGTAGCTTAACCCACTGAGCCACCCAGGCGCCCCTATTTTAATTTTAGATATAGATTGTTTTCTATGTTTTTTTGTTTGGTTTTGGTCTTTGACTGTCTTGGATGTTTTCTGCACCTTCGATTGGCTTGGGCTTGCCAGTAAGATGGATTCATGTTTATTATTATTTTTCTTTCACAAGTAAGTATTTAAAGAAAATAATTTTATGATGGAAACTTTCAAACCTATGTATATAAGGAGAACAAATAGTAATAACAAACCCATGGACCCATAGACCAGGTTCAACAATTATCAACATTTAATGTGTTCGTTTTTGTTAAGAGAGGTGGACAAAGTCTCACTAATGAAACAATGTCAAGTATTGTAAAAATGTATTAATTGGAGAAGAATCCATTCTAATTGGCCTAAAATTTCTGAACTATAAACTTGATAGAAATTTAAATAGCTTTAAATCTATAAAATTACTAAAACTTGGCTAATAAAGTTTTGCCTAGGAGAAAGTGAATAGAACTGATATTCAATTATGTTACTCAGTACAAACTTAATGTATAGTCTTGAGTCACCTTAAAATCATTTTTGGGTGCAGGCAAAGGACAAAGCCCAAATAAAATGCTCCTTTTTATTGTTGCCTTTCATTCCAAGAGGGTTAATTTCATTTTCTCAGCTAAAAGACTAAGACTAAGGTCTTGGAGAGTTGAATCTCTCTCGTAAAATTTTCTGTCCCAGCTCCTCCACCCGATTACTTGCTTGCTTTGTAAATACACTAAGTAGTTTATTTGTTCATAATGCTTACTAAGCATTTGTAAATTCTTTTTTTTTTAAAGAGCTTGTTTATTTATTTTAGAGAGTGAGACAGTGCATGTGAGCAAACAGTGGGAGGAGCAGAGGGGGAGGGAGAGAATCTCAAGCTGACTCTGTGCTGAGCCCAGAACTTGACACTGGGCTCAAGTCTATGACCTTGAGATCATAACCTCAGCCAAAACCAAGAGTTAGACGCTTAACTGACTGAGCCACTGAGGCACCCCAAGCATTTATAAATTATTGAAAACAGTTCATGGACTTAGTTTTCTGAACCTGCCAACATTATTAATTTTATCATAAGCTTTCTTCTAAGATTATTTATACAAAGTAAACCCAACCATGATTTTGTGAACACAGATTAGTAGAGAGATAGTCACAGCAACAATAGCTGTGTTGTATATGTGCCACCTGCCAGGTTCTAAACAATTTCATTAAATCCTCATGTTGACCTTTTGAGGATGTTTTAAAAAAAGATCCTTGTTTTGTAAAGTGAATCTGAGATTCAGGAAGTAAAAGTAATATGCCCAACATTACAAACTGGTATTGCCTAGAGTTTTTTCAAAGTTGTATTTTCTGTTTGGGAAAGTGTTTCCTGTACTAAAACACACAATTTGGTAAAAGCCATAGATTTAAACTGCAATTAATATTCTAACCATTAGTTTTATTTTCTTCTTTTCTTTCTTTTTTTTTTTTTAACATAATAGGCTACTGAATTCAATGAATGGAAGAATGTTCTCTTTATCATACAGTTTCTTCTTTCCTGTTTTTTGGGGTAAGAAACCATCCATAAGTAGAAGCTTGATCTGTGATATGTCTTGACAAATCAAGTCAAAATATACATTCTGTCTGCTCTATCAAAATCCCTTTGCCTTTGCTTCTCCACCTTTCTCTGGAAAGTAGCCTTGCAGCAAGGAGTGGGATGGGACCCAGGATCCCTGGGAACACAGCCTGATAGACCAGGAGCAAGCATGAAACAGTTTTATTTTTGAAAGTCATGCTTGATATCACATTCTACTCCAAAACGTGATGTTGCCTATTAATATCTGAAAGCATAAATTAAGTGAAATAGTTGTAGTTTTCTCAGTTGTTGTCTGCCATTTGACCCTGAAAAAAATCTAAGTTGTGTTTTTGAGTCACACTTTGTCAAACCATCTTTTCTTTTCTCTCTGATTAAAAAAAAAAAAAAAATTCAATCCATATCACACAAACTTAGAAAATACCTTTCTCTAACAAAGCCCAGATTCACCTATAAACAACACAGCAGAGTTTCAAACTATTTTCTCATTTCACTATAAACTTGATGAAATGCTATTCCTGTTTTTGTTTGCCTGTTTGTTTTACTTGCACTATTGAAGGAACTCAAGAACTAACCCCCGCAAAGTCGTTGTCCTCAGTGGTGATGTGGTAAGGAGTGCCTAGATGAGAGCCTCCATTCTCTGGGGCTTGCCTGTCAGAGGTTTGGCCCTATCTGTATATAATTCCATACATTTTTTCCCCCACTTAATAATGTGCTTCTTAGAAAACAAATACTCTTGATAAAAGTATTATGTCATCAGTAGTCCCTTTGCAAATGAAAATGCCATAAAGGGATTCCAATTATAAATAAATCAATAAAAAATGATAAAATCTTTAAGATTTAGTTTCATCCAGATTTAAAGATGAAAATTAGGTAGGTCTGTTTTTAAAGTGGGTCTTTTGAGGACACTAAAATCATGGCACCATTCCAACAGCTAGGTGTCCGAACTCTGGAATCAGATGCCCTGGGTTTGCCACTTATTAGCTCTGAGTCCTTGGACAAGTTTTCTAACCACTCTCAGCCTCAATTTCCTTATTTTTAAAATGGGATCTTTAATAAGGAGATAAAGTATGTGATTCATAGAATGGGGTTAGGTGGATTGAATGAGCTAGAGTGATGAGCCCTCAGCACATGCCAGACACACAGAAAATGCTCAGGAATGTTAAGTGTGGTTGTTATTGTTAATATTTCTATTTCTTGAGGTCAGTGTGTTTTCACCCCAGCCAGAATTGGTTCTACCAACAGTCCATGGCTTCAGCATTTTTTTGCTATTACATGCATAGTTGACCCTTGAACGATGCATATTTGAACTGTGTGGGTCCAATTTTGTGTGGATTTTTTTCAAAGAATACATACAACTCTGTAAGTGTATTTTCTCTTATGATTTACTCAATAACATTTTCTTTAGCTTACTTTATTATTAGAATACAGTATATAATGCATATAATATACAAAATATGTGTTAATTACCTATGTTCTCAGTAAGGCTTCTGGTCTACAGTAGACTATTAGCAGTTAAGTTTTTGGGAAGTCAAAAGTTATCTCCGGATTTTTTACTGGGCAGAGGGTCAGCACCCCTAGCTCCTGTGTCATTCAAGGGTCAACTGTACTTTTCTTTCACTGGTCAAATTTGAATCTGAAACTGCTCTGGAAGGAAGTTTCAATTTTGGTATGGTGGCATTTTCAGAATCCTTTCTTGAAGTTTCTCTTTCAAAGGATTGGGATATTTACTTCTTCATACTAAGAGAAGCCATTGTAAGCTTCTGAGCACATTCTCCCTTTTGAGGATAACTGGTACAGGGCTTGCCCCTTTTCTTTGGTCCCTGCTCAAGGAATGGCTCAGGGCTCACACATAGGCATCCCAACCCTTGATTCCAGAGAAATGTGATGCTCAGCTTCTTACTTTCTTCAACTCTTTCAAGTTTGCATTTCAAACTTGGGTTTTCTAACCATCAAACCCCTGTCCCATGTTGAATATACAATTACAAAATTATAACACTTTAAAAATGGATGATAAGTGAATGCAATGGTGAAAAGGGCAGACTTTTAATTTTCTTTTGCGTTACGGTAGACTCAGTTTTCAGAAATGTAATTTGTAATCAGGAGTTTGTTGATAAAGCATATGATGGAGTTTAATTATGTCAGGAAGGTAAACTGGATGGTGGGTGCTAAGATAGTTTAACGCAGGCAAAAGTAAAATTAAAATTTTTTTTTAAGATTTTATTTATTTGACAGACAGAGATCATAAGTAGGCAGAGAGGCAGGTAGAGAGAGGGGAGGAAGCAGGCTCCCTGCTGAGCAGAGAGCCTAATGCTACACTTGATCCCAGGACCCTGAGATCATGACCTGAGCTGAAGGCAGAGGCTTAACCCACTGAGCCACCCAGGTGCCCCGGCAAAAGTAAAATTTAGACTGAAATTTAAGCTGACAAACTAGATATTAAAAAGTCAGCTCTGGGGCATCTGGGTGGCTCAGTCAGTTAAGAGTTTGGCTCTTGATTTCTGGTCAAGTCATGATCTCAGGGCATGAGATCAATCCCTATGGGGCTCAGTGGTCAGCGGGGAGTCTGCTGGAGGATTCTCTCCCTCTGGCCCTCCCTCCACTTGTAGACGCACATACTCTCTCTCTAAAATGAATGAATCTTTTTTTTTTTTTTTTTTAAAAAGCTAGTTCTGCAGGTATTTTTAATCTTGCTGAAAAATTATGGGTTCTGGTTCATTCATACCAGCAACTGGCACCAGCCCTCAGGCTTTGGAAATAATTATCCTAATCTGTTTCTGACCCAGTAGCAGACTCTTTGGTCCCACGGAAGCCGTAATATATTTCTCAGTAAAAACACAAAAGTACCAAGTATTTTTTAATCACAGGATAACAAATGTTCTATTCCTTGAACCTTCACTAATAACTGCTGTAATGTGTGCATAAAAGAAAACAGGATTCTGAGGATAGCTGGGGCATAGGAGCGATATTCCCACATTCCCAGTAAACCAAATCTTAATGTAAAATTGGTGCTGTGGGAAGATGAACCATATAAACCCCATGACTTTGGCATCCTTGGCACACCACTGAGGCCTTGGGTAGGAGTGTGTTCTTACAAGAGATGGGTGAGATGAGATTACTTGAAATTCTTTGAAGTCTGAAATTAGAATACTATGCTAGGGTACCACTGTGGTTGATGGGAGGTGTGTAAACATGGCCTGTTATTATTTGAACATTTGTGTTGAGTTTATGTAAATGTACCTTCACAGAATGATAACCAGGATACATTGTAAAGGAGGTCATTCGAGTATTATTTGTGACTACCATGAGTGTGCCGTACAACTTGGGTAAATCAGTTAGTTTCTTTTCAGAAAGAGTAAGTACCTTGGAGCAGGAGTTCTGTTCTAGGGGTTTCTCCGTGAACAAATCCATCTCTCGGGGACCTATAAACCCAAGCATACTGCTGGCATCTGTTGTCTGAATGTGAATCACATATATGTGCTATTCTTTTTCAAGTAGACATAGGTGATATCTGATTTAGAAATACAGAATGGCAGGAAGCTATTTTTAAATATCTTTGCATTTTATAAATCCACAGATGGCTAAAATAAAAACTGTCACGCAGAAGTTGACATTTTTAGCATTAAAAGTGGTCTGGTTTTCTTTGTACTGAGTTAATGGACGTTCTTTTAGTTTAGAACCTTGGTCGTTTTAGCCAAAGGACTACATAGGTGCCTATCTGCATATAGAAATAGATTGTTTCTTAGAAAATTGGAATAAACTACTTTGATCCTTACTGTTTTATTTTAGCCTCTCTGGTGACACCTACTGGTTATACTGAGGAATGCAGCCTTTTGTCTAGAGGCTCTTTTACTAAGACCTGGCTATTTCAGACACCCCCAGGCCTCAGAGAACCGGTGGGGGGGCTCCTCCTATGCTCAGCCCAGCTGGTGAGTGTGTGTCCTACTTGCCCACACTCATAGTGGGTGGATCCAAGGTATAAGCCAATTCTGAATGCGGGTGGAGGTGGTTTCACTAAAAGGTGGGATGGAGAAAACATTGCATGATTGGAATGCCAGAGTAGGAATTTTTAAGCAAAAATAAAAATAATATCCACGATTGTCTTGGGTTTAAGGCTGCATTCATTTAGGAAGCCTGCAGGAAACTTTTCTGTGTCCCTAGTTTGGGTTAGACCGCTCCCTTGTGGTGTAATCTCTAGTATTTTATTAGACTCCCTCCTCAGGGAAGATGCTGTGGGTTATCTACTCTTACTGTCTGGGCTGAACAGAGTAGGCACTCAGTAACATCACATTGATGTTATTATCTTTTTATTTTATGCATGAATAGGATTATTCCTGGGGTTCTGGATTCATGTTGAATTTATTAAAATTATAAACATTTAAAAAACTTCGACTTTTTTTAAGGCTTTAGGTTCAATTTATAAATACTGTTGCTCCATTTATGACACTAGCAATTTTTGTATTAACATAAGGACATTTAACTGTTTGATTAATGGCTTATTAACTCAAGTTTAGCTGATGAAAATCTCCTAAACAATTTACTGTAAGTTGGTCTTTTTTTTTTTTACCACTCAGTGAATTTAAAAAAAAAAGTAAGCATTTTAAACTACATTTACAAATATGATTCATCTGATTTTCCTCCAGCTACTCCAAGCCCTAATGAGGTCCTCTGCAAAGCTTATGAGACAGGTTGCTTCACAAACCTAAGCAATTCTTTGAAATCTAGTAAACCCAACTTAGAAATTTGGTAAATCAGCTTCTTTTAAATGTCAAATATTGTGTTCAGACTGACACAGGTTTTCTTACTTCTTTCCAATGAAAGCTGCAAGTCTAATCCCATTATACATTTCATTTTCAAACCACAGAGGCCAAGATGTTGGGTCCTGTAACTTGTCAAATTATTGTAGTTATTTTCATCACAGAGACATAAAAGAATTCTGAAGATTACAGAATTTAAGTTTATAATGGAATTTCTTCCTTAACA